ATCCAACTTATTGTTTATTCTTCTTTGCATGTTCAATGATATTGTTTAGAATGTGTATGAGATCCTGCGTGCTATTGCCTGAAAGTGCAGTCCAGTTGAGTTCCGATGATATTTTATGTTTAGTGAGACAAGTGGTTAAGTGATTAGTGATAATTTTGGTAAAGATCTTTCTTCCTGTATCCAGAAGTGTTATGGGTCTGGTTATGTCGAGATTGTTTACTCAATCTTTGGATTTGAGTATGTGATAGATGTGATCTCTGCATCATTCTTTAGATATTATTCCATGTTGAATTATTAGGTTATAAATTGTACACAATTCTGTTTTTTCTTTTCCTTGCAATTATTTGTATATAATATAAGGAATTTGATTTGAACCAGGAGCAGATTTTGAGCTATGTTATCTAATTATTTTTTCTGATTCTTGTATCAATATGTTGTTAAGCATATCTTTATAGAAGCATTTCTTGATATGTGGTTTAGACTTGTATTCTTCTAGACAATATGGGTGTTGTATAATATGAACAATATTTTTGGGTAGGGTCCAGTTGTAGAAGTGTTTCCAGACTTTGCCCTTGATGTCTGTTGGTTCAGAAATGATCTTAATCTCATCTGAGTTTCATATAATTAGCTTATTAAGAAGTATTTGTTTTTTATGTCTCTCTATAATGCTGTCTATTATGGCTCTTTTGTTATTATTGAGATATTCTTGTCTGATTTGGATTCTTTTTTTGATGGCTTGTACTTGTCTTCTTTGGGAGATTGCTTTGACAACAGTTTTATATGCTTTGATGTTATCTTTGATGACCTTGATCCAGTATTAGATATATGAGAAGAAATTGTTGATTTTTATTTTGTTCAATATTACTATTAGGTCTGGAAGAAGGTCTTGTATTTGTCTAGGTATTTTAATTGACTGTAGAACTTGATTCTCTGTTGTTATTGTTGCTGACTGTCTGAGGTGTATATGATATTTCTGCAGTTGTATGAGGAGGGAACTGTTTCTATGTTACTGTAATTGTTTCTCATCCTTTGGTGTTTTTTATTTTAAGTATGTGGCTTTTTGCAACTTTTTGTAAAATATCACTGAAACAGTTTCATCTTTGGTTAACATCTTGATTGCTTATGCTTTTGGTGAAGAGACTATGTTCAACTTGTTCACTGAACTTTTTCTATTGTTCATTTGTGGTTAGATACTAGTTTAGATGAGAATTAGATATGTGATGAGAGGTTTATTTAAATTTGTCTAAATATCAAACTTTCAATTTCATTGTCATTGGCTTGTGATTACTTTGTATAAGAGATACTATGGAATCTTGAATAGTGGCTGTCCTAGATTGCAAGGTTGCTATAGAGTTTATCTATATCTAATCAATTCTGCTACTCAATATACCTCTATTTCATATATACTCATGTTTGGTTGGATTGTATTTTCTGTATGTATCTTCTAATTCATTTTTTAGTAGAGACTATGTGTTTGCCTAAGGAGCTGCACTTTTTGCTTGCTCTGTTATTATTTAGTTTATCTATAGAAGGATTAAGGACTCCATTGAGATCCCTTAGTATTATAATATTCCAGCTTTTTTCTATTGCTTCTTAGATTTATTTGTTGAGGGTGTTAGTAACTGTGTACTTCTCTCCTTTAATATCTTTTGCTGGGAAGTATATTCCTATTATTCTCATTTTTTCTTTGTGTGGGAAAACAAGGTCAGTGACAATAAGTCTCCCAGCTAGTGTTTTATAGTTATATATCTGATAAGCTCTTTGTTTACTGATCATTATGTTAAGACCTTAACTGATTGTTTGGGATTCCTTATGTATCCAAATGGTTGGATATTTTGCATGTTGCCAGTATTTTGATTGATGATGTGAGCCATTGGTTTCTGTAGTGACTATAATGTCTCATTCTGTTAAGCTGCAAAAGTTGAATCATGTTTCTCATTTATGTGTTTCTACAAGTTCTTGTATGTTGAATATGGAAACTTTCCAGATGGGTTTGTAAAGGTGTCTACTTGTCTGTATAAATTCTATCATGTGAATTGATTGAGACGTATTGTTGTCAGTTATTATATTTGTTGAATTTTGAGAGATTTCTTCTTAATGTAATGTTATATAAGATAACTTGATGGTGATATTGATACAAGGTGTTTCTTGATATTGCATATTTTTGATATTCAAGTTACTTTTCATTACTGTTGATTTGGGAAGGTTTACGTATTATCTACAAAGAAATCAAGGATTACATTATATATGTGATCAATATTTTGATCAAGTTTTTGCATAAATGAGTGGATTCATTGTTATTGAGTATGGATATCTTTGTTGTTGTTAATAGGAGCCTCTTCTATTGTCAGACTATCTTCTCTTTTATTATACAAAGTTGTGTTTTCTTCCCTATGTTTGCATATTTTTCATCATAGATCCCAAGATTGATAATACATTTATCCAGGTCTACAATTTTTTCTTTAATCTGTAAAATTTCTTGTTTGATTTTGTTAAGGATGTTTAGAATTTGCATTAAGTTAGGTTGATATAACTGTTCCATTGTTTTGTTTTCTCTTGATATTTTGACTGCTGCTGCATATGAACCTGATCTGGTTTTGATATATATGTTGATTAGAGTTTTTCGTCTGATTGTTTTAGTGCAGGTAGGTCTAAATTTATTATAGAGTTTGTCAAATCTATTTGCTTGTTCTGTGTTATAATAGTTCCACTGTTCCTTTCTTTCTTTAATAGGACATTGAATAATTAGATATATTGTACTACCATATATTATGCAAAGTTTTGTGTCGATTGGTTTCCATTCAGTTTGAATTTCACCCAATGTAAAGTTTTGTACTATTGCATTCTTTAGATCATTATTATTGCTGAATTATACTATAGTGAAATGCTTGCATTTGTATAACATATGTCTTGGAATGTAATATGTTTTTGTTTTTGTTTGTTCACATATATATTTGAGATTGAAGGCTGTGATGTTGGGAGAAAGATTGGTAAGTTTTACTGTGGTGTTGCTACATGCTTTCATTTGGTCCATATTCTATTGTGCATCAAAAATCCTAACTGAGTCTGATCACAACAGGATACTCCACTTGTTGATTAGATCTTCTTTTGATTGTGATCTGTATATGTAATGACTGCTGATTGTTACATTTGTTATATTGACATGGAGATGTTGGTGATCTCCTTATATTTGACAAATGTTTGTGACGTCTATGAATTTAGTGTTCAGAAGGATGTTACATATTCTAATACTCATTTCTTTATTTGATTTAGAGGATGTAAAAGTCATATGTTTTAGATGTACATCTTCAGTATTGAGTAAAAGAGTGTTGCATGCTTCATTTGCAGTGGGTATTCCTTAAAAATAGCAATGATATGTTCGTCTTTATCTTTTCCTTCACTGTGGATAAAGAGAAAGTTGTTAAGAGAGTTAACGCTTTTGATTATGTATGTAATTTTTTGACTGATGATTCTTCTTGAAATAAGGAAGGCCTTGATCCCTGTTTTAACTCTTTCTCTATCAAATCTAGTGATGCTATCGGTAAGAGTTTTTGGTCTAGGCTTGCTAAGTTTGCTTGTAGTTTCTCTAGTTTTAGATATGACCTTTTGCCATGTTTCTTTACTTTGTTGATTGTCCTTTCTGCTACTATTTGATTTCTCCATCTCTATATTGTAGTCTTCATTATCAAATATGAACTTCTGTACTTCTTGATTGGTGTTAGGTCTGGTAATCATAGTACCTATGTTTGCTTGATTATTTTTATCTATTAAATTTGATCAGATTATTTTTTCAACTTGTTCACTCCATAAGAATTGTTTTTTGTTATTTTGTAGTCTTGTTTCAATTGTTTGATAAGGGTTGGAAGTCTGGTTAGTGTCTAGGTGTTGCTGCAATTTGTCTCTAGGTTTTCTGGCAAGGTTTTCTTTTCTTTTCCTTTATCTTTTTTTAGAAGTTCATCTTTCTCCGTTTGTGTTTCTTTGCATAACAACCTTATGTTATCTTTAGCTAGGACATTTTCATTGTAATTGAGTCTACCCTGAGCATATTGCTTTTGTTGTTCTCTTGGAGAACTCATCTCTCCATTCATTTTTCTTCTTAGTTCACAAAATTGCCTAAAAAGGAAATTTTTAAGAAAAAAAGGATCTGCGGGAAAGAGTTTATTTTTTGATCACATGTTACATGTATTAATATACGATTTACATTTACAAGTTGATCGGCATATCATTTAATATGTACTGCGCCACAAGTCACGTAACGTGAACTTCGGTTCACGCTGATCAAATTACGTGATCTACGCTAGAATCGGTAAAGTAATTTATAATGCTTTGGATCTGATTACCTGTTAACTTTGAAATCGTATCTTCAACTCGCTTAATTTTTGATACCCCTATTTTCTTAAACAATTTATAAATATTTCTAGCCTTCTGAGTTTTCTTGCGCAGGTTTTCCTTTGTGACACCCGGGAGATGTGGGGTAATAAGATTGTACACTTGGGTTCTAGCTTGTTGGTCCTTGACTTTGTGGTTATTATCCATTATATCTTTTCAAACCGTTCCGCATAGTAGTTATCACGGCTCATTATGCTCTGCTGGTAAAATCGATTTTTTGTTCCTTATGTGTCTTGAAACTAGCTTCGCTATTAAGCCTACGTTTTTTATTATAGCGAGCACTAAATGACAATTTCTTGGTTTGCTTCTCTTGCAACATACTGATATGAAAGAAACACGGTTTACAATTATTTCTAGTAGAAAAGACAAAAGCAACACTAATTCGAAAGGTAAGTAATTGATAAGGGGCATCACGAGTCATTGCATGATCTACTCCGGGCCCTGCACTACATCAGTTAGATACTATAAACACGCAAATTTATAATGAAAAAATAACCGCATATGAGTAAATTACTGAACAGAAAAAAAAAATGATCAAATTTACAGGAAATCTATTTATTAATCATCAATATTTACTAAAAACGTCCAAACCACAATGGACAGCTTCTGTTTCAGTCACGTGTCTTGCCCACAAGCTGTTTAAATTTTGGTGTTCCAAGGGTATCACGTTTGAAATTTGCCTTTTTTGATGGCGGACCTGGATTACAGAGTTTAGCATATAAAGAATCACGGATTTACAAAAGATCTCTCTTACTCCTAGAAGTATTTCTATATCACTGATAAAAGATGACATCTCTTTTACTGAAGCTGGAACTGATATTTGGCCAATGTGGATCATAGTATATATTCCTTGAATGAGATCCATCATATAGAAGTCCACTGTATAATCTATAAAACAATTACACAAAGTTATTCACAAGAATCACGAGGAAAAAGCAAATATTATAATTTGTCTTACCAACACATTGGAAACCTAGTATTTTTATATCAGCACCTAAGTCTATGGCTGAATCAAGGCAGTCCTTCATAAAAATGCCAATACGAATTAGATCATTACAATTCTTATATACTTACGTTGTTTTTTTCTGAATGCGGACTGAATTCACCCACGAATATACACCATTCTTCTGTAGCTGATATAATAGATACTGTGAAGTCAGGTTGTTTGCTTCTTCCTTGTGACTTCCTCGCCTTGCTTTCGTCAAGACCTGTGTTAGGCCATTCAACAATGTGTTTGTTTGGTTCATGAAACACTCCCTTCATGATGTGATCCGAATGGTTTGTGATCAATGTCGTTTCACTGGGTTCATTTTTAATCTTGACGGTGGGTAACGATTTTATATACTCTAAGATTACAAAGCCTATATTTTCCTTCATAGTTTGACTATTAACAAGTTCTACCAATAGCCAATCCGTAGCAAAGCTACAGGAGTTCTTTGTTGCCTTCTTGACTGCATCCCTAAATTTTAATTCGCATTCTGAATCCAATTATGTTGCGTTGGGATGATTTTTTGGTGGATTTTATCGAGTAAAGGAGAACCAAATACATTGATCATAACTTTCGAGTGAGAACCTGGAAAAAGCAGGAAGATCGATGGCAGTGACAATATTTCGTGAACGTTTGATTCAACGAATAGACCATCAGCCTTTGCGATCTTTATAGACTCATTTTGGTATTTCCGGAATAATTGAGATACATTGATCTCTCCTATTCTAAAATCGTCAGCAAGATTCCCATTCTCGAAGGATAGTTCATTAGGAATATCGTCAATTATTATAGGCCATCCTCCTCAATGAACGGATTGTCTGTTGGAGATTCTGTTGATAAATGCTTCGACATTGGATCGCATGGCGATGGCGTAGTGTCTCCATTTTGATGTTGCTTCTTTGACATTCGTTCCTCATTATAATCCATATCTAGTCGTCTTCTTAAAAAATAAGGTTTTTTATCCATAGATGATATTCGTCCTATGTGATATGCGAATAAACCATCGTTGAGTTAATATCTCAGGAATGTGCGACAGTATTGTTGTTTCTGGACATTCAAGATGGCAAGCCTTTTTACCTTGTTTACTTCTTGTTCCTCATCTCTGGATCTTTCTGTTTTATTCCTTTCCATAAAATTCAATTGAGACTTATGAACCATTTTGAAGTATCGTTTAGACGTTGATTTCCAGTTTGCAAAAAATTCACAACACCTCAGCCTAAAAATTTATTAAAATTCAAAATTTGTTTCAAATATATAATCTCAGAAGTTTAACTACACGTTACCTCGACCAATTTTCGTCTTTTACATAATATATGGAGTTCTTGGTCCAACCTTTTATCTTCCCAGAAACCGTTCACTTCTTCCGATGTTTTCTCATTCTTGCCAAAAAATTTTAATTTCAAAATATTATATTCTAATACTAACAAAGTTCACCTTTAAACTCTAACTCTAACCTAACAAATACAGTGTATCTGTAGCGGAGCCGTAGCCTTTCATATACGTAGCCGTAGCCAGTATACTAGCTAGTAGAGTAACATTGCATTCTCAACGGAGCCGTAGCCTTTCATATACTTAGCCGTAGCCCTTAGGCAACAAAGACGAATGTCTACACCATTGTCCATAATAAAAGGCCAACTTACCGCAAAACTTTCCAAAGCTTCTACTACTGTATCGTATTGTCCGTCCATTTCCTTATGACAACGTTTGATTATAGTGAGTTCTGAAATATATTGACTTTGAATCTTGTCCTTCTGGAGTGAATATTTTGTTTGCGCCAGGTAGTTTAAGTAACTGATCAGCGACGGTTTCAAAATGGAAATCCAATATGCTGTAAATTTAACAAATATAATAAGAATATTGATTCCTTAGACGTGATACACCGTGATACACCATTATTTACCTGGCTCGCTTAACTTTTTACAGACGTGTTTACCAGTTTCATTTGGAAGACCAAAAAATTTCTCAATTCAAAATATAGAAATATAGTTCACACGCGTATAACCACCAATCAGAATATAAGATCAGGTGTGACGTTGCGCCCAAACTTCTATATCATCACGTGATGACATATGCTATCCGTTGTCACTAGACTAATCGATGAGCTTAATTGATCATCACTAAGATTCTAACGCGACTCAACCGCGACTACATCGTACCTCACCGTGCCTTCATCATACCTACGTATATTGTATCTTCATCGTATCTTCATTGCATCTATATTATAAGAACGTAAGAGGTAAATTACATATCTCGGATTTGCTTATCTCAGACCGGGCGATCTTAAATGGTGGGAGTTTATTCATTATAACGAAATTAGAATGAGAAATGAAATTCATTATCGGTGGAAAATACCGAATCAGAGAAATTGGGTTGCACGAAAAATATGTGGAGGTAATCACTTTTCTTTATTTAGTATAGCGTCGTCGCTAGTGTTTTAATATGCGCAGATTGAACGATGATCCAAAGGATCGAGTCTTCGACTCTCCGATTTTGTATAAGTTTCACCGGTATTTAAATCATAATAATATCCTTCATCGTCATCATCAGAGAAACCACAGAAGCTTTCATCGTCATCAGAGAAATTTTCAGGCTCAACGTCGGATAAAGCAGTAATTAAAGATTGTGGTTTGTTATCATTGGCATTTGTATCACTTACTTCGGTTCCAGTAGATGCATTTACCGAAGCTTCTGGTAATTCTGAATCTTGATCATCTGAAGAATTGTCCTGTTCATCGGTATATTCTATATCAGGCTTTTTGGTAAAGTGATCTATAATTGTTTGAATCTGAGAATTAGTAAATTTCGAAATAGCATTTGCACTATATGATTTAATATATTGGACCTTATCTAAACCTATTTTTTCGAATAGGCTGTAAATTTTTCTGGCTCTTTCTGTTTGCTTCTGTAATGTATTACGTTTAGTATCAAGCTGTGCAATAATAAAATTATAGATTTGTCCTTTTGCTTTTTTCTCACCAACTTGCTCATTTTTCATAATATCTTTAACTTGATTATCGAACTCAATAACGTAATGGTACCAGCATAAAATTTCATATTGATTGACCTTTATTGCTTGTTTTTCCACATCACAAGCTTTCCGATATAAGGTGGCCAAATTTAGTAAAGTTTCACTTCTTGATACAGAAAGTATAGTTATATCACTTACATGATTTTCGCTGACCTGATTCGAATTTTGGGTCAGCGAAATTTCAGTCACATGATCCGGAAATATGGAGTTATAATCTTGGATAGATGGAGATGCATCATTACCTACAGATATTTCCTGGATAAAACCTTGTTCGTTTTTCCGCTCACGGGAAGTAGATGCAGTATTCTGGGAAATTGAGGGTGCCTCCTGGCTAGGTGATCTACACTGAAGCTTCTCCTCATACTTTCTCTGCCTGATCGAATCACTAACTTTTTTTATGTGCCTCATCCAGGGTTTCATCAATCATCTTATCTTCCAATGATTTGGTCTCTGCGGAAGATGTGGAGATTACCGAATCCTGGTATATATCAGAATTTGAAGTGATATCAGAAATATTAGTTGCAGGAGTATCATTACATTATGGCACTATCTGTTCGGTATTGTTAGAATTTTCCATTATGTTGGAGGTGCTATTAACTGAAGATTGATCAATTACCTTGGTACTATCACCCGATTTAGCGATAGAGTTGTCAGATTGCGATTGCTTCTGTTCCAATTTCGCAAATCGATTTTCACTTTCTTTTGCCGACTGTTCTAGTTCTACGATTCTGGCATTGAGCTCACCATCTCTCAACTTTGCATTCTCGGCATTTTCTTTTGCGGTCTGTTCTAATTTCACAAATCTGATCTCAATCTCTTTCTTATCTTGTTTTAATTTTATATTCTCGGCCTTGATATCTGCATTCTCCTTCCTAAGTTCAGAAATCTGATATCAGAATTTAATTTTTTCAATGAATTGATTGTGGATTGTGGATTGTGGATTGTGGATTTCACATTGTTTTATATAAGACACAGATACGTTCAATAGTTTAATAAAATTGCGTGTGCGTTCTTTTTCGGAACGCCGATCACTTCCAGAAAAATAAATTCAGAAAAAATCCCAAAAAATACCAATGCAGAGTAAACACGATTATATGTGAAAATTGAACCACTAAGGACACTTTATTGATGCATAGTAAATTCGGAAAAAATACGCTTTAGCCGAGGGGCTAATTTACAGCTATTAATACAATAAAAAAATGCATGTGAAGCGGAAACTATCTACCCGCTATTACTGATAATTTTCTTTGATCCTTGCCTTTTTACCAGCTGGGGTATTATCAACGCTAATCCTATCTTTCAACAATCCCACAACACCCAGTATCCGTTTCATTCCCTTTCTAATCGATTCAAGATCCTCCTTAAGTGCCGTTTTGGTAAGATTAATTTGACATTCACTTTTACTGGTACAATATAAGCCATCGGTGGTAAAGGCGATGAAGTGCCATTCAGTTGCTAAAGGATATAGTTATTGGAATTGGTGATTTGATTGACAAAAACATGATTTGAAAAATATTTTTACCAGTAGAGACTATTCCGTAGATATAATCATAATCGTCATTTCGAAATGCTTGATCCGCAGTACGTTTCTTTTTATTTGTATGGTACGCACTCTCAAGTTGCATGATATTCTGAAGATAACCAATTTCGACATTTCGAGGCTTTCCTTCAGCTATACACATAAGATCTTCATTCCCTACCTTTCTTTGACCGATTCCAACGTAAAATAATCTGGATAATTAATAGGATTGGTTTCAGCTTTTTTCTGATTATCTTTCTGGATTTTGTTAGCTTCTTCTGTAATATCTGGAAATATTGTAGCTTCAATTATTGTAGATGAAGCAACAAGGTTTCTTAATTCTCTTCTGAGTCGAGAAAGACGTGACGAACAAGCATTAGCATTTTTTGCTGATAGGGCTAAGGCATAAGCTTCAGTTCTTATATCTCTAATGCTAAGTTTATCCCGTAAAAACCGTTGCGCCATATCTTCGATGTTTTCTTCCTTTAATCGTTTTGGAGGTTTGTTAGAAATCACGATATTTACGGTCTTATTTTCGTTTTCCTGGGTAGAGAGGTGACATACAGTAAGTCACTTTGCACAGCAAATAAGTTATCCACTTGACCCTCACTAAACCCATATCTATTTTGCAAAATTCGTTTTGCTTTCTCTCTGATGATCTCTTCTTCCGGATTTTTTGGGAGCTTGGTTACAACTATTCGACAATTACCTTCAACTAAATTTATAATTTTATTTTTCCCACCTCTCTGATTCGGTATTAATACACCTACCTGCTCATCGATAAATTTGAATCCTTCTCGAAGACGCCTGTGTGCCTGATTCCGCTTTCTATAATCAGTTAGATTCTCGAGAAACTCTGAAGTGTATTGACTGAGATCAGCCACACTCATCTCGGAACTGAGATTATATTTTCTACGATTTTAGTTGCAATGGCTGACATGTTTAAATGTATAATAGGTTGAGTAGGTTATGAATAGTTCTTTAGGTTATATACACTACAGAGATTCTTTTTTAAAATCGAAATTAATTACCCCCCCACCCATACTCAGAAAAAGAGAGTATATGCCTACATATGGAGTAACCGGGACGTCAATTTGAATTTTACTATTACATAGGATATAACAAAAAAAAAAATAGTATAACTTCGGGGTAGGAGCCCAAGCTATATTAAGGTTATGATTCATTTTTTATAATGCTTGGAATAGATTCTGATATGTTTCTATACTTATAGACCATTTCTTGTAAATATCGGGTCTATTTTCCATTATATCAATTGGTGGTATCATAGCTGGATGGGACAGTGCGTTCGTGATTTTAATTTGCTCAGGATAATAATAATCCATAATATTTGGTAATTGTAGAAATTCAGCTAAATCTTTTACGTACCTAAAACCATTGCACATTAGTTTGCGGAACGTTGACCCATTGTGATCAATCTCTCTCTTGCTTAATAAGTTGACTACTTTCTGAGGTGTTTCCATTAGGAGTTACAAGTTATGAAAATGATAATAGTTGATTGTTACTTATGAAAATGATAAGTTTAATTGGTTGTTTTTCAAAGACCCAAGAAAAAATAAATGATAATACTTATCTAGTAAATTGCTTCGCCTATACAGAATTAGGCACGCAGAGTTTCTTTCACACACTTCTGTTTATAATATTTATATGCTCTTTCCCTGCCTTACCCACACGGGACACAAAGCTGAAGACTCGATTTAGTCCCTCGTCCACATCCTTTACATGGTTGGAGAATTATTACACCCTTTCGAATTTTAAATGCATGGGAAGCGCAATATTGCCCCTTTGCTGGGTTTTTACATAAATTGACGTCTCCAACTAATAACCAATTACAAGGCATTTTATATGTCTTGACACTAACTCCGCTATTATTCTATATTCACTTTCATTCATTAATATTTCTCGCACTGTCATATCCATATATTCACTGGGATCTTCTTCAGCCTCCTTTGCATAACCATACATTCTCGCATCAGTCTGAATTCTATCACGGAATGCTATGGAATCGAGCTTATCTTTTTCTGTAATAGTAACGAATTTGTCAGGATCTTCACCAAGTTCGATGACTTTTTTACGAAGATGTGCCTCTCGTTGTTCCCTAGTCAAATATCCGGGTAGGTGTTATATCTGCTGGGGAGTTTCTTCATTGCTGGTTTTTGGTTCGTTGTTTGCAAGTAAGTCGAGAGAGATCTCTGGCTCAATATTCACCGATTCCTCGATAATTTCTGGAGATTTGGATTTATCGTCTACAGGTTCTATGTGTTCGATCTCGGGAGACAGAGATATATCGTTAGACACAGATGACGAAGCAACTGAACTTTCATTTGTTATAGAATCGAAGAAATCCTGGGTCACGTTAGTGATGGACGGAGCAGGTGATATATTCTTACCTTTTTCAATGCGATTGGTGATTGATGGCTCGGCTATATATTTTCTGGTTTCGGGATTGTGATTTTGGGTACGTTAAATACAGGGATATCTGTGGATATGTTGGTGGATATTTCAGTTTGAGGTAAGTCAGCAAATTCTTCGATATTACCTATTGACTCACATAATTTAGCTACGATCTTGGATCGGTCAAGGATGTAGACCCATTCTCTTTTTCCATTAACCCGTACTTGCTTACGTTCTATATCAATTGTTGGAGGAGTTTTCCCAAATTTTTTTCTAGTGAATGAATTTTTACCATTTCTTTCACACCAAATACGGTAATCTTGGTATAAATTCGAACATATTGGTTTCTCAGTCTATTTCCAGGCCAAGATTAAATATGATCAATTATGAATCGAGTGTGATTTGGTAAATGTTCCAGCATTGTATCTGTTTTCATTTTAGTAGCAGGAATATCTTGTGGATTCCAATATGAGATATCGAGACTAAGTAGATAAGCCATAACTACACTAGGTGCGTCTGGATGTTCTAATATTTTTGCTAAATTTTTAAAATATGCTGTGTTGCCTTTACAACGGGAAGATACATCAAAGCACACAATACGCCGATCACCCATTTCTATTATTTTCTATCACAATTTTGTAAAGTATTACGAGATTTCTTCCTGAGGAATACGTTCTCCGATTGATAGATGCCCCTTCGACGCACGAATAATTTTCACGGCATTTCTTATCTTTCGTTGTAATAATACACATCTAGTCATACACAATGTAAGCACAAAAATAAATGGAAAATCTAAACAAAACAAAACAAAAAACGGTCAAGACATAAATCGGTTTAGAGAGTACTAGAGGATGACTTTATTACGTATTTGAACGAATTGCACGCAGTGCGTATAAGTGATGCCCTATACAATACGTACTACGTACTAATCCAATGATCCTCATAATTGTATCGTAGGCTTAATGACATTTTTGTAACCAATTACAGTATTGATCGCGAGTTGGTCATGTCTCTAATTTTAATTAATGCAATTCGAATCATTAAAAAATTAATGGCGCAAATAATGTACATGTATAGTAATGTGTATCTGGTCCTTTTTGGATATTACTTATCCTTTTTTATTGCTTCAAAATTTGACTTCGGACGATGAGCGAATTCTTGATCGTCTAAATTACTATTTTGCAACATGTATTTTTCGGGTTCAAAAAAAAAAAAAAAAAAAAAAAAAAAATTTGACTTATGTGAATTAAAAAAAAGGTAAATTAAATGTGCTTAAAAAGAGAACATCGTTGTATGAAACGAAAAAAAAGAATCCACTATCTGGAATATTTCCAGAAATTATTTGAGAAATATTTGCGAAACTCTTTATCATGTTTTATCAATTAATTAAAGTATCGTATAATCTGCTGAGATGAGGTGTGAGTTGATGAAGAAAATGATGGATTATGTTACTATTTAATAGAATAGTCTGATTACGTATTTGATATGATGACATAAGAATATCAAAGATCAACAAGAGGAGAAAAATAAATTATTGGTCTAAGACGTGCAATAATTTTAAATTTTATTTTCTCTGAAAAATGGGCAGGTGAAAAGGAAATTTGAAAATTCAAATTTTTATGTCCCCATAAAAAGGTCATGGGTTCAACATTCACCATAGCATTTTTATATATTTTGCGAATTTTTTGAATCCTTGAGGTACAGTAACTGTTTTGAAGACAAGACCAAATTGAAAAAAAAAATCTATGATCTATGATACACGACAACAAGTCACCGTGAAGAACTATTAATTATAACGCAGGCGCATTAATCTAAAAGAAATAAACAAAATCAGGCTAGCTTTAATTTTATTCATTTATTTTCTATTCTTAAAAGGCGAACAAATACTTTTTAAATAAATAGGGCATTATACTTATTTTCATTAATAAAGGATGTGGTTTATCTAATTATTTTAATATGCAACTTTCCGAGGAAATAAGATACTGTATAAGAGGCATACAGAGGATGCACAATTAATAGCATGGAAAACCAAACTGAGAATGCAATTTCACAACCACCAAACAACAATATATCACAATACCAGTCGAAAAGAGCAATTCCTAAACAAGGAAAAGCAACCACACAGTGAGAGAACCAATTTGAAGAAATAAGATCTCTTCAAACTCTCTTTCTATCACAATTTCTGATCATACACAAGTCTCTCCAGTCCAACAGGAAGAAATATTGAAATCTGCCCTTCAAAAAGCTCATAATTGCATTACAAATATTTGGATAAATTTCTCAGAAGCTTCATAGAAAACCTGGAGTCACCAGCAACGATCAGAGAAAAACAGAAAAATTATATTATTTTTTAAATAAATATACATAGATAGCTCTTTAAACAACTTTAATGGATAATACTATATGGGTTTGGATTGAGTTATTATTACCTCAAATCAAGAGAAGCATATCTTGCAAGGTCATATAACAACACACCTATGATCTATTAGGACAAAAATTTCAACAATATTTACAGTACACTGTGTTCTAACTGAAAACTATTCAGCAACTCTATACACTAACAGCCAGGCAGCAATAAATGGTATCCTAAAGAACCAAAAATAAAACCTTGAAAAGATTATCAAAACACAAAAAAACTCAAATTTATTTCTCCAAATCAAATATTTGTATAAACAAAACTAAATAAAACTCCCTTTGTACAAAATAAAGGGACAATCAGGAATTAAATGCAATAAACAGAAAGATCATTTAGCATAGATTGATAGATAGTAAGGAATAAAACCTAGTAAAAAAGTAATTAAGATACTAAGAATGTAATATATCCTCAAGAAATGTTTTTTTTTAATTGGCACAACCTTGTTTTATTATTGTTTTTAAATTACATTTATATAAAGTAGCTAGTACTATGGTACAGAAATGTAGCTTCAATAATAATAAAACTTGATAAGCTATAAACTATCTCATGGCTTGTTGTTCTCTTCTTAGGAAAAAGAAAACTAACATGTCAAGACTATGCTAGTTGTTAAGTGAAATAATAATAATATAAAAATGTTAATATTATACTTTATATATTCATTCATATATCTGCTAACAATTCTGATCAGGCTTGTATTTAAATATGGGTTCCTAAAAGAGGAGGCAGGAACAAAAGTCAAAAGTTCCCCACTAGTAAACTTTAGAATTTTAAAATAATAACTATAAAAAAACTACTTACAATTTTTCTCTATTATCCAAATTATTGATTTATAGTATTTTTTGATATTTGTCCTTATTAAAGTAAAAAGCTATAAATTTTGTTCCTCAAAAAGAGAAATAAGTGATCTGTAAAATTTTATATAATAAATACTTTAGGAACCCATTATTACTTGTATTATGGCAAAAAAAAAAACTCTTTCCTGCAGATCCTTTCTTTCTAAAAAATTTCTTTTTTTGGTAATTTGGGAAAAAAAGAAAGAAAGTAAACGAAAGAGATGAGTTCTCATCAAGAACCCAGAAAACAATATACCTCGGGGTGACTCAACTAAAACAAAAATCTTTTGGCAAAGAGTCACACAAAAAATATACACAAAGAAATAAATACAGACAACATAAAGAAAAACACAATAAACAAAAGAAAAACAGCAGCAAGGAAAGAAAACAAACCTGTAAAACAACTAACAACCTACAATACTGCAAGACAAAACACCTCCTAAGATTCCAACAATATCAAGAGAGCAAAAACCACTATTGACAACACTTTCTGGATTGAACAAGTTGAAAATGAACTTTCAACTAATGTATCCAAAACAACTACTCTATTATTTCCAAGAAGCACAGAAAACAATCCTAGCGATCAACACACAGTCCCTAACTAGCAAGAATACTTTGAAGAAGCAAATATAGAGATGGAAGTTGAAGATTAAACAGTAGGAAGCTCATCTCAAAACACCCTTTCACAGAAAGAGGAATGGCAAATCACATAAAAACATAGAATCAAAACCAACCAGTATGGCAGATTCTACCCTAAGTCCCCACTCGACAGAAAAGCCAAATTTTGTAGAGAAAGAGCCAAAACAGGAATTAAAGCAAGTGAAATCCCAGAAAGAATCACCAGCCAAAAGATCTCCTTCTTGACAAGAAGCTTAGACTCCTTGGTAGGTCTAATGTTAGTCTTTAGCGAAGGGAAAGGAGAAAATGAGCACATAATTGCCATTTTTAATGATAAACAGGCTGCAGATGAGACATGCAATCCTATCTTACCCGATACAAACAATATGCATCTGGAACACATAAAAATTATAACCCCTTTCCAAAAAAAGAAAAATAGTATCATTGTATGGAACATTCTTTTAGATATCAAGTTCATTGAAGTGTGACAAACTTTTTCCAAATATGGAGAGATCACAAACATCACAATGGCAACCTAACAAATGTGGCAGACTGCTACAATCACTTATGAAAATCAAG